GCACGCAATGGCGCCTGACTCAGCCGGAGCTACAGAGTTACGAAACCAGCTGGACTACCTGCTGGCGAAAGGGTTCATTCGGCCGAGCACTTCACCGTTCGCAACACCAATTCTGTTCACGCCAAAAAAGGACGGCGGCCTTCGCATGTGTACGGATTATCGCGCCCTTAATCGGGTAACGATAAAATCGCGCTACCCAATCCCACGAACGGACGAACTGATCGACAACCTTCGCGGAGCTCGCTATTTTTCGAAAATAGACCTTCGTGGAGGTTACCATCAAATTCGGGTGTTCGCTGACGACTGCCACAAGACCGCGTTTCGTACTCGCTATGGGAGTTACGAATACACCGTGATGCCGTTTGGATTAACGAACGCCCCCTCGACGTTCCAACTCACCATGAACAGGGTGTTCCGCGATCTACTCGACAAATGCGTGATAATTTACTTGGATGACATCTTGATCTATAGCAAGACCCGGGAGCAGCATTTAAAAGATTTGGAAGCAGTTTTTCAACGGTTGCAGCAGCATCGACTCATCACCAAGGGCTCCAAGTGCGAGTTTTTAAAACAAGAACTGGAGTTCCTGGGGCACGTGATCTCCATGGAGGGGATTCGAATAGACCCGAAAAAACTCCGGGCTATTCAGGAGTGGCAAGCGCCAACAAATCTGCAGCAGCTGCAATCATTTTTGGGTTTCGTGAACTACGTGCGACGGTTTATACCCAACATGGCGGGGTTAACTGGACCTCTAACCGACCTACTGCAGAAGGGAACCTTTTACGAGTGGGGGGAGAAGCAGCAAGCTGCGTTTGAGGCATTAAAAAATCTTTTAATGTCGCCACCGGTACTTCGCATCGCTGACCCGGAACGGCCCTTCGAAGTCATCACCCACGCAAGTGACATCGCCATCGGAGCAGTGCTCATGCAGGATTTCGGCAATGGGCTTCAACCACTTGCGTACGAGTCACGGAAAATGCAATCTGCTGAGCGCAACTACCCGGTACACGACAAGGAGATGCTGGCGATCGTCCACGCGTTCAAAATCTGGAGGTTCTGCCTGACTGGAGCAGACGTGACGGTGCGAACCGATCACAAATCACTACAGTACCTGAGGGCGCAGCCGAACCTCAACCCGCGGCAGATACGCTGGCTGGACTATCTGGAGTCGAACTTCACGTACAAGATCACGTATAAAAAGGGCGCCAACAATATTGACGACGCCCTTTCCAGACCATCTGCCCAACTCGCAGCAGTACTAGTCGCCCAGAGCAACCCGCTACTGAGTGGACTATTTACCCACGGGTATTCGACAGATCCCTTCTTCGTAAATGACGGCCATCTCTCCATCACTACACGAAAAGGCGTCTATTACTTACGAAGCGGAACTGATCGAATTTGGGTCCCAAGTTATCGTCTACTTCGCGAATTACTAATTCAAGAAGTCCACGATTCGAATTTATCGGGATATTTCGGGGTTGATAAAACTCTGAAGGCGTTGCAGCGGTTTTATTACTGGCCAGATATGGTCACGAACGTGCAGCGTTACGTGGCCGCGTGTCCGATCTGCCAGCGAATGAAGTCATCACACCAGCGACCCACAGGACTGTTGCAGCCCCTCGAGCCACCTCAACGCCCATGGCAACACGTAACGATGGATTTTGTTACGGGACTACCGGCCGGACCCAGCGGAAACGACGCGGTTTTGGTTGTCGTCGACCGATTGACGAAAATGGCGCATTACGCACCATGTCGTACAAGCATCACAGCCGAAGAAACAGCGCGCCTGTTCATCTCGACCGTTGTTCGCCTACACGGGATACCAGCAGCAATCATTAGCGATCGAGATCCAAAGTTCACGTCAAAATTCTGGCAGGACACGTGGGCTCGGTACGGCACGCGTCTACAGTTTTCATCCGCGTATCACCCCCAAACGGACGGCCAGACGGAAAGGACAAATCAAACGATGGAGCAGCTGTTTCGGACAAACTGCCCCGACCGGAAAACATGGGAGGACGTGCTGCCTATGCTGGAATTTTCCTACAACAACGCACCCTCAGCTACGACTAATCACTCCACGTTTTATCTCAACTACGGGATGGACCCTACAGTGCCGATCTCCACCAACGTTGAGAGTCAAGTACCGCGATCGCAGCAGTTCGTCGAAGAACTACAGACTGCCCGAGACAAAGCAGTCGAACTTATTTGCAAGGCGAACGCAACTGCCAGACGGTATACGGATTTACATCGCCGGGATATTACGATGACAGAAGGGCAACTAGTCCTTTTGGACACCAAGAATTTACGGCTGCCACTACCAACGAGATTACGACCACGTTTCTGTGGCCCATTCAAGTTCATGAAGATGGTGACGCCGGTGACCGCCCAGTTGCGCCTACCTGATGACTGGCGTATTCACAACAAATTCCATGTGAGCCTTTTGCGACCCTTCGTTCCTGACACGTCGGACATCGCTTGACAGCGATTGGTCCCGGACGTACGGCCACCAGCCGAGACAACCATCGAGCCTTCGAAGATCTTAAGCCATCGGATTCGTATCGACGGTCAAGGACGACACGTTGACTTTTTGATACGATGGACCAATCGTACCAGTGAGGACGACACGTGGGTGCCCTCGGACCAGATACAGTCACCTTCGATACTTGCGAATTATTTGGACCGCAAGCACGTGGCTGATATATATCACCTTCGCTAAGGGGGGGGGGTGATGTAAGGAATTTTCCATTCCTTACCCAGCGGTACTGCTATCGCGTACGCTCGAACACACCCAAAGCCTCGGGACTGTTCCGGACCTTTCTGACAGAACCGCCTCGGCTTCTCCAGACCTGCTAGTTCGACCTTCGGGAGTTCTCCAGGCCTCGCTTCGTCACTTCGAGACCCTTCGATCTCCTTCCCGAACCTTACCATCGCATGGTTAGACTAGCTCTGGTGTTCCTATATCTTGGCTTGCCATTCCTTGTATCGTCATTCATTGAGTGAACACTTCGTTATTCATTTCCGCGCTACGCTGCTTGTTCATTCATAACATTGGGCATGTTGGTTGAAGAGTTTGGTGAACTCCAACATACAGATTTCATCAAAGATTTTGTGGTTCAGTTTGTAGAATTTTAGGTCTGGGCAGCTGGGCAGCCAGGTTGGGGAGCATTGAAGGATGGTAAGGTGTGATAGGTAGAATGGAAAGCAGATAATATCAATTTTTTAACAAGTGTGCATTATGATGCCCCAATTTGCCTGTGAAAGCTATATTCTCCCGACTGAGGAGCAACCGCCAGGAAAACAACAGGGTCTGAAAGAGGCTTCAGGTGTACCGCGTCATCTGGCCTACCACTGATCGATCTCCCTCGAGCGTGTCGGATGCGACGATCCCGCAATTCGGGACACCAATCAGAGCGAGGGCCAACCTTTCGCCAAATCTCGAGGGCCACATCGCATGGCTGTCCAGCTGCCGCGACACATTGCACCGATGGCGGCGATTCGAGCATCACCAACTCTTGAGGGAAGCCCAATCCTCATCGCACCCACGATTCCACGGTCAGGTCTGATCAGCCATACTAAAGGCATCGGCTTTCATGGTAATGTCAAAGCATCAGCAGCCTATTCTACACACCAGTTACTCCAATCACTCTTTCCAGGCAGACAGAAATGGCTGCTCTCGCCAATGCTGCTGTTGCCCCGTCCACGTTCGTCGGCCAGAGCGCTGAGCTCGCCGCCAAGGTGAACAATGTCGAGGCCCGCGTCTCCATGAGGAAGACCGCCAAGGCGGCTCCCGCCAGCTCCTTCTATGGCCCCGACCGCCCCCAGTTCCTGGGCCCCTTCTCCTCCCCCCCGTCCTACCTGACCGGCGAGTATGCCGGTGACTACGGGTGGGACACCGCGGGTCTGTCCGCCGACCCCGAGACGTTCGCGAAGAACCGCGAGCTGGAGGTGATCCACGCGCGGTGGGCTCTGCTCGGCGCGCTGGGCTGCCTGACCCCCGAGCTTCTCGCCGGCAACGGCGTGAACTTCGGCGAGGCCGTGTGGTTCAAGGCCGGCGCGCAGATCTTCTCCGAGGGCGGCCTTGACTACCTGGGCAACCCCAGCCTGATCCACGCGCAGTCCATCCTCGCCATCTGGGCGTGCCAGGTCATCCTCATGGGCGCCGTCGAGAGCTACCGCGTGGGCGGCCTGGAGGGTTTCCAGGAAGTGGAGGATCCCCTGTACCCCGGCGGTGCCTTCGACCCCCTGGGTCTGGCTGACGACCCTGACGCGCTTGCGGAGCTGAAGGTGAAGGAGCTGAAGAACGGCCGGCTCGCCATGGTGTCGATGTTCGGATTCTTCGTCCAGGCCATCGTCACCGGCAAGGGCCCCCTCGAGAACCTGTCGGACCACCTGGCTGACCCTACCGTCAACAACGCCTGGGCCTATGCCACTAACTTCACCCCCGGCCAGTAAATCCTCTGTACATTATTACATTGAATAAATACGTAGATTTTTGCCGATTAAATCCAAGCAAGCCGAACTAAATTTCCCAGGAATGAAGTGGCTTATCCCGGTATTTTGCACGCCTGGCGGTCCCCATCAATTGATATGCTCAACAAAAATCCCGCACAGGGTTCTTTCGAAGGGGAAAATCCGTACATGAGTGAAGTACTAGTAATTATATTCGCCCAGATTCTTGGTACCAGTGCAAACAGTAAAACGCACTACTCCAGAAAAACGTGGATACTGTACAAAGCGTGAAACTTCGTGGAAGGGACGGCAAGATGACTTTCCCTCTGATTCCGTCGTACCTAATTGTGGCGAGAGAAGCCCATTCTGAAGCAGAGCGAGCGGTTTGCAAACGCCGCATGTGAGAAAAAAATGGCAAGCCGTCAATTACGGCAGTTAGTTCGCCTTCGGTTTTATTTCTTTTTTCTCCGCTCATTTCCTCGGCAGTGAAGTCGCGTGAAATTCTCTGTAACAGAGAAAGCAGTTCTCTGTTACTTAGCAAGGGCCACACAGCAAGACTGAAGCATTTATTGGTGCTTCCTCCTTCAACCCCGTGCAGCAATAACACTGGAACATCGCCCCAAGGTGCAGATGCTATACCGGAACAATAAAATCATGCATGTATGCAATGCGATTGGTGTATCGATGTTAGATAAATCAGTATCAGAAAACCTGGAGAGTATAGGGTGACGGATCTCAGATCAACCCATTGGGCTTCAGCACGCCATCTACACCGTGCGCTCGGATAAACTGCCCCTTGAACAGATCTGGATCGTCGATTTGTGCCCACGTCAGCACGTTCGCGCCAGGAGGGCCCAGCGCGACAGTTGTACCGGGCGAGAGGAAACCTCTCTGCGTCTTGAACCGCATGAGCGGCTTGTTGTTCAGTTGCGTGGGCAGTTTCCCGCCAACGGGAATCGCCTTGATTTGTGCAAACGAGTACATGCCCTCGATGACGTTAAAACGAATCAGGTCGCCCATGAGCTTGGGCACTATGGCGCGTATGCCGACGCCGGTTAGTGCGATATTGGTGGGGATGAGCGCCGTGTTTTCGGATAAAAACTCCACGTTTACGTTGGCGTCGGGCAGCTTCTCTGGGAAAGAAAGGGGCGAGATTTGAAGGGGTGAGAGGAAAGGGATGAGAGGAAGTGGTCGGATATGAACTCCACGCTTATGTTGGCGTCGGGCAGCTTCTTTGGGAAAGAAAGCGCGAGATATGAAGAGATGAGAGGAATTAGCTGGAAAAGGAGAGACCGGGAGGCGCATGGTGGTGTGACGGAGAGGGGGGTACCGGGGGGCTTGCCGGTGGGAAGGGAGAGGAAAGAACAAAGGTAACGTAGTGGTTGACATAGACGGCGGAAGTCTTACTTAGCTGCTTGATCGATCGTTGTAGCGCGTTCGCTACAATCGAGTATTTGAAGGGGTTTTTGGAGAGAACCTTCTGCAGCTGCTCCAGCTCGTCGATAAACTCCGCAGGCGTCGGCGCCGCAGCCGCGACTAAGGCGAGCGTTAGAAAGATAACCGTCAGTAGATGCTTGCTCGCCATATCTGCTGCTCGCTCACCGGACGCCCCAACGTCAATTCAGTTCGCTCGAGAAACGAAGAACGGTAGGTGTAGATGACGCTGCTTTCGTCCGGTGCCCACCGGGCGCACCGGTATAGATGACGCTGCTTTCGGTGATTTGTTCTCTATCTACGTGTTCGGCTGACTGTTACTTGGAATAGAATCGCTACCGCGAAGTGCCGTGGTGTGTTGGAGACTCCCTCGTCTACGACTCGTGTACGAGCTACTGAATACGAAGGCATATGGCACGGCTTCACACCGATCTCGTCGGTATATTCAGAAAGGCGATGCGCTATTTGTACTCCCGAAACTTTTAAACATGCACGGACGAGAGAGTAGTCGGCGTTAGCTTGATGCACAGGCGACCGACTATTTGATGGGCGAATGGATGGGTGAGAGGGGAGGGAGGTGGGTGGGTGGGGGATGAAGGGAGGGTCAAAATCAGGCACTCCCTCCCTCGCTGCCTGCGCCTGTGGGTTTGGAGCCAGCCTTGGTCGCGCGTAATTCGGCTCGCAAATTTCTGAAAACGGAATTGTCGGCAGCGGTTCGGGGAATTTGGCAGTGTGAGGAAGCACGTACCTGAGGTGGCGTGGATTGCGGAGAGCCATGTCAGCAATCCCCGAAGTCCTCACCCCCCCCGTGTTGCAGTGGCTGCGAAATATTTTCGTGCAGGACTGCTACAGTGATGCGATTAAAAAAAACCATAGTAGACTGTTTCGAAGTATAGCATTGATGTACAAGGTATCGACGTACTGTAGAACATATTGATTAAACATCTAATCCTGCATCAGATCCAGAAACTTGATATTAGTAGGAACATTTACAAGACAAACATCAGGGGTGGGCAGGCTGAGAGAAAACTTTAGCCAAGCAGCAAGTGCTACTATCTAAGCCAAGCAGGGGCCTTCCGAGCTTGACATGGTGTTCTATACTGGTGGCAGGCAGGCAGGCACGCATTTGGAGCCCACCCCGGCCGTTGACTCAGTGGCACATACACCGACGCCCGTCTACAGTTGTATACACATATTTGAAACATGCAGTCACACGGTGAGAGGTTCCCGCACGAGAGGGCGGTGTCGTTGATGGGCCACTGAGGCGGGGGGCAGACGCCAGGGGGTGCAGTGCAGGGGGTGCCTGTAAGGGGCTTTAAGAACATACGACCACGGCAGGCAGATTCGCAAGGGCTACAGGCTCCCAGTTTAAATGGCATGGCATACGCTTTTTTCGCCGCACACCCGCTGCCGTAGGTCACCCCGTCTGCCCCGCAAACAACGGACGTCGCCATCGGGCAGAGGTCAGAAGATATTCGGGTTTTGCAGGGTATCAGGAGCAGTTGCCCTTGGGAGATGGCAGAGTCGTCGCAGGAGGGGAGGGTGTTGGAGGAGCAGATGGAGGTGGGGAAGGTGTTATTCAGACAGAGCGTGTTGAAGTACTTGGAGATGGATGCGAGGGTGTCGTTGGCAACGACGGTGTACGGAATGACGTCGGACGAGAGGGAATCGGTGCTGAATGCCTCGATTGCCCCGGCGATGCAGACCTGCTGCCCAATCTGGAAGTAAGGCGGGTCACACTGGGGGGGGAGAGGGAGAGAGAGAGAGGGAGGCAGCAGCACACAAGAACACAGGCAGAACAAGGTCAGAACGACAGAAATTGTGATGACAGGAGAACAGATGGTGAAAAGCCAATGGAGGGGATTGATGCCTCAGTCAAACGGCAGCAGGGAAACCTTTCTGTGCTATACAGGGTTCAGAAGGCGGACTTAAAAAGGGGATGAAAGAGCATACCCTGAGGCCGGGGTTGAGCTTCATAAAGTCGTCCATGGAAAGCAGCGCGGCGTTGGCGATGTGCGTGCAGGTGTCGGCCTGCGTGACCGAGTACCACTCCGCACACTCCACCGCCAACAGCTCCACCGTGAGAGGTGCAATGCAGAGTGTGAGCGAGGGGTCGAGCGGGTCCGTGGACGCACACCGCAGCCCGGGATTGAGGCTGTTGGGGGGGGGGACGAGGAAGGAGCACACAGCAGGGGGGAAAGTGGGTTAGAAGCAGCTTAGTACTCATGATTGAGGTTGTGAGGGAGGTCCGGGAGGAGAGCCGGTGGTTGGGAAGGGTGCGAGAAAAGCAAGGAAGGCAACGGAGAAGGGCTACAAAAAAAGGGGTGGAGAGAGGCTGAAGCAGAGGCAGTGGCGAGGAGCAGAGTGAGAGGCAAAGGCACGGATGAAGCCAAAGTCAGTCAGAGGACTCACAGCATGAGCCTCGAGAGCGAGATGTTGGAGTTAACCGCCACGCCCATGCAGGTGTCTCCACTCTGCACTCTGTACGTTTGCCCGCACGAGACACTAGCCGGCATGGTGGTGGACAGCATGCCGGACCGCACACACACCGTGGACGACACGCCGAGCGAAGACGCTGGCAGCGAGCAGTTGATGCCCGGGTTGAGTGCTTGTAACACCTTGGCAGTAACGTTGTTACGCGCGGCGAGGGTGGTGCAGGAATCGCCCGGGGCGATGAGGTCCATGGTGGCACAGCCAAGCGAGAAGTTGGTGCCGGCCACTATGAGGATGAAGCCAGGCGTCAGGGGCGGCGCGGAGCAGTCGAGGAAGGGGTTCTTGGCTTCAAGGAAGGCGGGCGTCACGTTGAACGCGCGGGCGAGAGACTGGCGGGGAAGGAAGAGAGGGAGAGGAACAAGAGAGGGGGGAGGAGGGGGGGTTTGAGTCGGAAAGAGAGTGTGGATGCAGAAGAGAGGCAGAGAAGGGAAAGGAAGGGGAGGGGAGGTGGTGGGTAAGTGGAAGGGGAGGGGAGGGGAGGGGATGGGTGGGTGGAGGGGCTCTTTGCCTGGCAGGTGTCGCCCGCCGCCAATGTGTGCGTCGGCAGCCCGCTCAGGAACGAAGTGACGTTAGAGTCGACTCAAGAGGGAAGGGAAGGGGACGCGTGGGTGGAAACGCGTATTACCTCGCAGGTGTCGCCCGCCGCCACCGTGTGCGTCTGCAGCCCGCTCTGGAACGTGCCCAGCACACACGTCATCGCGCCGTCCGTGCGCGCTCCAATCACAGAGCCCTGCGGGACACCCGCGGAGAGAGGGGTGGGGGGAGGGGGGGGGGAGGTGGGGAGAAAGAGCGGGGGGGAGAGGTGCATGAGAAAGCAGTCGCAAGAAGAAACAGGGGGAGCGCGGGCTAAAGAGGAAGAGGAGCGCGGGGAGGGGGAGAGGAGGGGAGAGGAGGGGAGAGGAAGGAGGGGAGTAGAGAGGTGGGGAGGGGGGGAAAGCACTCGAAGGGGCACCGTACCGCGGGGCAGGAGCAGGTGTAGCTGCCGTCGAATTTGTTTGAGCACGTTCCCAAGCCGCACGGGTTTGGATTCGCGCCGCATGGATCAGCCCGCACGCATTTGGGCGGCCCGGTCGATTCCCTCCTCTCGACGAATCCCGCGGGGCACGTGCACCGCGGCGCGCCATCCGAATCCAACCTGCACGTGCCTCCCCCGCACGGCTGCGGGCGAACGTTACACGGGTTCGCGTTACTTCGCGAATCGTAAAAAGTTGGGTACACGGCCGGTTCGCTGTGGATGTTGCACTTCCCGCGCGGCTCGCTTTCGCCCAAAATCGGCAGCTTCATGTAACCCATTTCGCCCCACTCCGGCCCCCAGGTGTTTTTCAGCAGCCAATAGGGTCCCTCCACGGCGTCCAAATTGTAACCCACGACAATCATCGCGTGATCGATATCTTCGCCGCAAACTCCGTTAAATAAACCCCCGCTGTATCCCCGAAAATCATTGCTATCCGTCGCGACGTACACCAACACCGGCTGCTGCGAAACCGCTTTCATAAGCGAAACCGAGCTCTTAGCGGGGACTTTCTCCCAACCGCTAACATTCCCCAGCTTCACCGCTCCCGCCTGCAACCCGCGGCACGATTGCCCATCCATAGCCGTATACGGGTAATCCGCCTCCCGCGCGACGCCGCCGTTGCTCATCGCGTATAGGAACACCCACTCCGGCCACCCGCCGCGGCAGCAGCTGCCCGTGCCGCAGTCGCACGCCTGCTGCGGCGCGAGCGGCACGGGCGCGGAGGCGTTAGTGGCGAGCGCCCAGAGCATGGAGAGGAGGTCCGTGGCCGCTAACGCCCAGCAGCTCTCGCACTGGAGGTGGGGAAAGGTAAGGGGGGGGGAGGGAGGGAGGGGGGAAGGGCCGGCCGGGGAGGGGAGGGGGGGGGAGGAGGAAGATTGTTAAGAGCGACGGTGAGGAGGTAGCATGGTGGTAACGGAAGGGGGGGGGGGGGGGGGGGGGGGGGGGGGGAGGGGAGGTATGGGGAATTGTGAAAAAAGCGGCGGGAAAACGAACCCTAAACCGACTCAACGACCGTTCTGCCTGAAGCTTGAACCTAGCTGCACGTCCGTTCTGCACCGCACAAAACCCGACGGCACCGTCGTCCACACTCCCTTACCCCGTCCTGGAGCAGCAGGCCCGTGCGATATCGCGACGCGCGCCAATCGACGAACCGCAGCTGCGACACGGTTTCGAAGCGGTACCACGGCTGGTTCATGTCGCCCGCCGTCGGCGGCGACCCCAGCGCGGGGGCCTGGATCGGCATCACCTCCCCGCCCGCGCCCAGCAGCAGCCGCCGCGCCCGCTCCGCGTAACTCAGCCGCGGGTTCCGCGCGCGTAGCGCCCGGGACCGGCGCGGGATAAAGCCGCTGCTGCTGCTGCTCCGCGCCATGCTACTGCTAGTAACGCTACTGCTTATAACGGTGCTACGGCCGTTCCGGCCACTCGAGGTAACGCGTTCTAGGTCTGCCGTCGCTCCGCCATACCCCTCCCCCAGAAACACCCGCACGATCTTCTCTAGATCGCTAGGCTGCGGTGCGCCGTGCTTCGCGGCGGCCCATTTCTCCCGCATGTGCGCCTCGAACACACACGGCTCCTGTCTCTCCGCTACCGCGGCTTCTCCGCTACCGCCGCCGCCATCTGCGGAAGAGGGACCCCGCGATAAGTCTGCGCTACTACTAGGGCCGTTGCGGGTGGCTAGGGTTGCAGTCGGGAGGAGGAGGGCGACGAGGACAAGGACGAGGAGGGAGCTGGTGCTGCGGAGAGGGGAAGAGGATAGTCGTCTCCACATGAGAAAGATTGGAGATTGCCGGATGACGCCGATTGGAAATTGCTGGCTCATCCCTCGTGCCAAGCTAGGAGGTGGCGTCGCGGCCTGCATCGTGAGGAGTCGTGACGAGCTCGATCGCCGTTCGCGGCGAGAGCTTCGCGAGGGGTGGTCGGCGAGAGGAGTGAGCGCCGTTTGTCCGCCCCCGTCGGAGCGGCCGTCGAACCGACAGCAGAAGAAGCCTGTCCTCGTACC